TGCGGGCCTAACCTACCCACTACTTGAGTGTTTACAACTATGTGGGCTTAGCCTACTGCTATGTCCCCGTTGCAACCCCACGCCCGAGGGCTTTCCAAACACAAGTACTCTGGTGGGTCACACACACACCCCAGAAATCACACTCAGACAAACACACGGGAACCAGCAAGCACACATACACAAAGACTTAGAAATCTCGGCAGAAAGTGGGAATCTCAGCAAGTCACACATTCCAGCGGCAAGTCTCGGAAATCAGCGCAGTTCTAAAATGGGGTGTCTCAATTTTGGTACATCGTGCTGAGGTCCAAGAAACACGCACACACACCCAGCAATCATACTCAGACAAACACACGGGAACCACCAAGCACACACACACACACACACACACACAGACTTAGAAATCTCAGCAGGAAGAGGGAATCTCAGCAAGTCACACATTCCAGCAACAAGTCTAAAAAATCAGCAAAACTTCTGAAGTGCGGTGCCTCAACTTTATACACCGTGCTGACCCTTCGCTTCAATACGTCAGGAGTAGAGATCCAAGAAACCACGAAATATGATAATTGAAAGGAGTATTGAATCGTCCACTTCTCAGTCCCATTAAACAAGATAACAACAGCACGGACGTACAAAGTTCTTTTTTCACCTTTTTTTCGGTTTTTCAGTATGAAGCTCTCTTTTCGACATCTTTTTCTTCTCCTTCGACAGTGGCGACGACTGTATCCAGTCTAATGGCTGTCCCTGACAGTTTTTACTGCAGTAACTGAAGTCAAAACTGTTTTCACCCTAACTAGCCTGACCCGAGGTGACCAAGGCCAGAGGTGTCCTCTCTGCCTGGCAGTAGAAGGCTGAGCCCAAGGCCAGAGGAAGTCTCAGTGGGGTACATTTACCCAAACTGCGGACGAACGATATGCGAATGCGATGTTGGCAGATTAGACAGACCGCCAAGGCCAGCCTGTCGGGCCCTGCGACATTGACTCTCATTTCCCTTCTAGTTCCCGTGGATGTTTTCAACTATTTTCCTTCCCTCTCCTTCTTCATAATCAATAATTCCAACCACTTCCCTTCCCTCTCGCCCCTTCTTGGCGCTTCCCCAATCCGCTTCTCCCGCAAGGTCTCACTACTTTCTTCCTTCATTACTCTCGGTTCTCAATGACTGACACAATGCATCCTGGGTCGATGCATGGAGTATGGCTAAGTCCCTTATGTCGCAGTCGGAGATTGTGACTCTTGAGGCACTTCCTATCCATCTATATCCTCTTGCATCTCCACGGCTATAATTCTCGGGAGTACGACATCCTCTCTCTCTCTCTCTCTCTCTCTCTCTCTCTCTCTCTCTCTCTCTCTCTCTCTCTCTCTCTTCTGCTTGGGAGGCGATGGAGGGGACATTTTCTCTCTCTATTCAGCTTGGGAGTTAGTGTGAACAGGTGGGTCGGCTGGCTGAGTGTGAGTGTGAGTGTGCGAGTAAGGGGATCCGAATGGCCTCACAAGCTGGATGCGATTGTCCTCGGTAGACCTCTCACTGTGACAAACTGCAGGACATGGGCAAACCAGACGCGCGTGATTGGGTTAAGCGGGGTAGCGATCCGAAAGATCAGTGGGCACTAGATGGACTGTCCGCACTGGAGTTTATGGCTATGGTTGTGGAGCTAGCTGAGTGAGCGTGTGAGTGGTTGCGTAAGGGGATCGTGGAGGCCTGACAAGCTGCCTGCAATCGTGCCAGATTGACTTCTCACGGCGACAAACTGCAGGACATGGGCGAACCGGACGCTTGCGATTGGGTTAAGTGGGTTGACGTTTCCGAAGATAAGTGGGGCGAGATGACGGGCTGTCCGCGCCGGAGATTACAGCTATGGTTGTTGAGTTTTTCTCCTAGTGGTTTCCCCGGAGACAGACGGGATAATTCAGAGCAGGGTGAGAAGACTAGACAGCAACAACACACGGTGGTTTCCCCAGAGACAGACGGGGTAATTCAGAGCAGGCTGAGAAGGCCAGACAGCAACAACAGACGACGATAGAGTCCGCGACTGCGCAGTTTGCAGTTTGTGAGGTACTGAAGACCTACCTGCATACCTAGGGTCATGGGAAAGCCTGAACGTAGGAAGCGTGGACGGGGTATCTTACAGTGTTGATATCTTACCCGATTTCCATTCTTCCAAGACATTGCCTGTTATCACAATCGATCCCTTCCATTCTCGAGCTTCTTCTATCCCGTTTGTTATGGATGGTAGGCACCATGTGACAGCAGAACGCAGAACTTGAAGAACAGGAGAGGCTACAAAGCAATATTAATTATAGGGCTGAGTACGTACAGCGTGATGAAGCAGCAGAACTTAGAACTTGAAAGAACAGGAGAGCCTACAGAGCAATATTAATTATGCGGCTAAGTTTGCATTTCATTTTTCAATTTTCAATTTTCAATTTTCAATTTTCAATTTTCAACCCATCTTCAGATGAGGACAGATGGGTTGAACCCACCCTCAGATGGGCTGAACTCAGGGAGGGTGGGTTCTGAGTTTATATGTCTGCGACAGGGAGGGTGGGTTCAGCCAGAATGGAAAAGGGAAAAGGGACAAGGGGGAGGGTAAAACCATCTTGCATTAGCAGTTATCTGGCGCCTAGCACAGGACGAAGAGGGTTTCCCCTCTCTGTGTAAGCCTGCTCAGTCAATTCTCTGGAGTCCAGAGTAATCAATGCTGGCAGGCACTGATCATTGATCAGATACTCTCTTGACACTTTTCTGTACCATTCTGTATCTGGGACGCTGGAACCGCTTTCCACCAGGTGATGCTCCCCACCAATAGATGAAAGCCTCTCCCCTCCCCCCCCCCTTCCCCTTGCTACTAGTGACTGCTCGTACCAGCGCCGTTAGCATGGGAGGGTGTGCATTTAAATGAGAGAGGGAAAAAAAAAAAGAAAAAAGAAAAAGAACACATGAGAACAGATGAAGTTGATGAACTAAATTGGAGCTGACAACTGAATCAGCACCCACAGTAATTGCTGGGTATGGAAGACTGTAACAAGGTCTGGGGATTTAACAATTTATGACGATGTAGGAAAAAAAAGATTGTTTCTGTGGTAGACCTTGGGACTGGGTGGTGCGTCTGATGATTCATTTACTCTTTGACTTTGCAGATTCCGAGGCAAGGCGAAGCTGCACTGCACGACCGTTTTGTCAGCATGCCTTGGCGAGAGCAGCCATAGCCGCTTACAAAGGAGAAGCCGGTGGTCTGTAGCTCACTTGTTGAGTATATAGTTCTGTTCGCACACAAGTTGTTCGTACTCCTCTGGGCAATTACGGTGTAGAGTATTGACGAGCGGAATCGTGTAACCCCATGTGCAGAGTGGGTGTTTGTGCATTCGACTGTGAGTATATGTGCGATTGCGGGTTTTGACTCTGTGGAATGTCAAATGGCGACTATTAACTCTGAGTCTGAGGTCCCCGTTTTCCAGCAGGTGATGCTCCCCACCAATAGATGGAGCCCCTCCCCGGGTGCTAGTGGTGTCTGCTTCATCAGCGCCACTAGCACTGCAGCGGGCGTGTGTGTTAAAAAAAAAAAAAAAAAAAAAAAAAAAAAAACTCTGAGGTCCCCTTGGTTACTACTACGCTTCGGGAAACTTGTCATTGTGAGACGCTTCGACTGATCGAGAATCTCTGGAGTTGGTGGAATTGAATTCCACCTAGTTCGAGTTGTTGGTTTGGTTGAGCTACAGTCTTCCCCCAAATACAACGCACGGTCATTATAGCTGAATTTAGACTGAAAGATAGACCAAATTCAGCTATAATGACCGTGCGTTGTATTCGGGGGAAGACTGTAGGTGGCATGCATGTGCGGGATTGGTTCTTTCAAATTCCTTGTGGTTTATACCCCGCTGAGCTGATCATAACATTCGTTATGAATCTGCTTGAACCGTGAGTTGTTTGTCGTGGTTCCATCGAACCATTTCGGTGCCATGGAAAGGTCCATTTGTAGCCTTGTAGGTGCTTGTCTGTTGAAAAAGTATTCGCGTTTGGTCACGTAGATCTTGTATTTTGCCTAAATTTGTCGGTGGCTATGCACAAGCAGCACAAGTTTATAACGGATTTTTTTTTTCTTTCTTCAGGAAACTATGATTGGGAAGGACGCCTGCCGGCATTGATTACTCTGTGTCCAGTTGGTTTACAGATTACTGATGAATTGTGAAGATATGGTTGGTCATAAACTTGGAGAATTCGCTTCTACACCTAACTCCAATTTTGTGCGAAGTTTAAACCGAGTGTCCGAAGAGCCAGTAGAAAAAAAAAAAGGTTGTCCCATGCTGTGGGGTCGCATTAGGCCCAGCCCTGAACAAAAAAAAGCATTCCCCGCTCCCCAGGCGGGCCCTGTTCCGAGTCCCCTAACTTTTCGGAGAGGCTCGTTCACATTCTCCACATGTACTGGTGGTTTACACCACCAGTGCCTACCGCGTTCTTAGGCTGTCGACGCGGTGGATGAATCGGCCTGCAGCGCGGGTCTGTATTCATTTATTCCGAGTCTCAGAGAGGGTTGTGCCTGCAAAAGTTGGGAACTGGTGTTTTAAACCACCAGTGCCTACCATGTTCTTAGCCGGTTAACGCGGTGGATGAATCGGCCTGCCGTGAGGGTCTGTATTCATTCGGGTCAGAGGGGGCCTAAAAACACCGTAGGTACCGGTGGTTTGCGAAAAACGTTTTTCCTGTACGCCAGACCAAAATTGCAGGTATGACCCTCAAAGTTCCCGACGTTTGCAGGTACGACCCTCTTGGAGGCTCAGATGGAAAGACAGGTGAACCAGCTTCCTTAGCGGATGGACCAAGACCAAAGAGAACGTGAGAAAAATTGTGAGATAAAGATAAAAACTCTGAGACTCGCGAATTCACAGCAAACACGGCAAATGCCCAGGGCTGAATTCTGAAGGTCAACGAAAATCTAGACCCATCTCTTCTCTTCCCCCCCCCCCCCCCCCCCCCTCCTTTCCCTCTTTACTCAGCCTACCATTCTTCGTCTCCAGCATCTTCCTTTCACTGCTGTGTGTGCCCCTTTCGATAACCTCCTTCGTCATCAACTCATCTTTAGCCAAAGCCTCGTGCAGCTGCACTAACATATCCATTATTACACAATGCCTTCATATCTCGCCACCTCGGTATGCCTTCATACCTTACCTTGCCCACGTCCGTTGCACAGCCATCATCATCTTTTCGTGCATCTACCAAGCGGACGCGTACACCCTTCAGCAAAACAGCAAGTGCGCTGAAACCTTATGCGGGCAAACACAGTCTGCAATCATCATCAGTCTGCACTCACCTATCCACTCCCCCCCTCTTCCTCGTTCTACACAGACGGTACTAACGTATCCACTCTCACTCAACCTCTGCGATGAGAGCACTGCCTGAGTGGATGAGAGCACCACCTTTTCTCAGCAAGCAGTACCCATCCCCCCTTATCTTCCTTCCTTTCCCCCATTTTTTTTTTTTTCTTGCACACCTGCAGGGAGACCAAGTTCTTAGAAAAGGACTTCAAGTGTTTACTGATGATGATGCTGTACACATGGAAGACTACCGTCTTCACCCGAATAGAACGTCCGGTCATTATAGATGTATTTGGCACAACTTTCAGCCCAGATACGGCGATAATTACCGGGCGTTCAATTTGGGTGAAGACGGTAGCTCTGAATGAGCAAGACCACCTTGTGCATTACCCTTGAAACAAACTGTAACTTCATCCGGTGATCACTTTTGACTGGTGAAGGTTCTCTCCTCCTGCTACACGTGTTGTCTTGGAAATCCAGCTTGCACGGTGAGGTCGCATACAATGAAGAGCACTCTTGACGCCAGCGAGAGAGATCCACAGACAGATTTACATCTCCTTCCACGGAAAAGCCGGCCTTCAAATTCACGATTCCCCCTCCGCCCCCGAGAAACAGCATCAGCCCACTTACAGCCTCAGCGGAACCACTGAAAACGATACATGGACGCCCAGGCCAACCATACTCTCTCTCAAGCAGGAACAAGCCAAGCACCTTGAGGAGCACCATCCATACTCTTTCTCACTGCCGTTGCTTAGTTCGTCAACACGCAAGAACAAACAAGCCACTGAGAGGAACACAGCACCGCATCGTCGCTGTCCTTCCTTCCTTCCTTCTGGCTATTATGTGACGCCAGTCGCCCACCGCTATCACGTCATCATTCGACACCTAAACTCGCCGCCGTTTCATGGCTCATCAAAACCAAACATTTTCATCGAATCGACTTCACAGAAACAGAAGAGGAACAAGGAAAAGTGGGAAAACTCTTCGACGACTTCCACGTGCAAACTGTCATGCTCCTGCTGCTGCCTCAGGCACACTGTTTTGACCACCCTTTGTCTTCAACGCCTGCGCTTGAATGGCGGTTAACGTAACAGTCGTGACAATGTCATTCACAGTGCAGCCTCTACTGAGGTCATTCACAGGTTTCCTCAGGCCTTGCAGAAGGGGACCCATCGCTATGGCTCCCGTAGACTGACAAAGGTGAAGTACAGAAACAACACAGGAGTACCAGTAGTGAGTCGACCGAGAATACGGCACACAGGTGCGACGTCAAGTGAACACATCCACCTACCTATACCGTCTTCACCCACAAATATCGACCCGAGGAGTTGTATATGAATCTAACGTGGCGGGCGTTATATATTCGTTTATAACGCCCAGGCATTACATTCAGTCAATTGGTGACAACTTCGGTGGGGCCCCGAAATTCAAAAAAAAAATAAAAAAATTACGCAATGCGACCAAATTTTAGCTGAGAGTCGCTTCGGAATTCCTTATAAATTCGGGAAAGAAAAAGAAGTTTAAAGAACACAGAATCAAACCAAAAAACACCCCTCAGAAGTCAACCTCCCTTTCAACCCCCCTTCAAAACCCATGTATACCCCCCTTCTCCGCCTTTAAAACCCGTGTATACTCCCTCTACAAGGGGCCTTCTGCTCACAAAAAAGAGAGTAGAAAGTTGCTAAAATCAGAAATCTGATTTTGGGGGGAAGTTGAATATAACGCCCGGGTGTTATTTTCGGGTGAAGACGGTAGCAGCCGAATCTGCACCAACAATGACTTTTAAATTGGGAGAATAGAGAAACAGAAGAGGAACAGAAGGCAATCAATGGTGGAACAGAAGTGTGTATCTTGTTGTTGTTGTTGTTGTTGTTGTTGTTGTTGTTGTTGTTGTTAATTTAGAAATGTGTATCTTCTACTGCCTAAGTTCTGCTCCGTACGGTGGTGGCGAGTCCCCGCTGCGATGATGAGCTGCTCGTATGAAAACAGCCATATGCTTGGGGGAAGATGGATAGATGGCTGCGTTATCAATATAATTGCATCCCAAAACAAGCAATGAACCACAGATTTGAAAACTCGCAAGAGTTCATACACACTGTGTGCCAAGAACTAGAAAAGAAAACGTTTTGGCGAAACCTGAAAACCGCAAGGAGAAAATGCAAACGCAGCAGAACCAGAACCCACCTGTTGTACAGCCTTATATGTGTTGTTTCCGGTGTTGAGATCAGGGAAGATAAGCACAGTTGCCTGCCACAAACCACAAGCCCAATATTACCATTTCGAGAAGGTCAGCATTCCATACTCCAAGCACTTTTCCACATAACATCCCTCTCTCTCTCTCTCTCTCTCTCTCTCTCTCTCTCTCTC